TGCAACTAAGTTAGCCTTGAGCAAAATATTCTAAAAGCTAAATTATTTAGAATATTTTATTCAAAATGCTAGCTAGCCTTGAGCAAAATATTCTAATGCCATATAATATTAAGAACAATAATCAATTAGCTAACAAGAGAATATGGAACCAAGATGGATTCAACTTACATGTCCCCCTAGACCCTATTCCATTCGCATCAATTAAAAATATTTTAATTGATGATTTAATTTTTGATGTGATATTTTTATTGACATGACATGATATTATTTAAGAGGCATATGCAACAGATAAGAATAAATAGACACGAGTTGACTGTAATATGTCAATCCGTGAAAAAAAATATAAAAATAGAAATATTGTTGGATGATTCAAAAGCTGACATTGTGTGCGGCCAACCCTTCGATTAATCAGATTTAAAATGAACAAAAAACGTAAAATGCTCGTTATGTCAATAGAGAAAAAGAAGAAAAAACATGATAAACCTGAGTCATCTTGGGTTGGAAGAATCGGCTCATCATCATTGAAGCTCATTTTGCCAAGAAATTAAAGTGTCACACCAATCAAATTTGCTGTTCTTATTTCCTTACTCGCAGCTCATCAATATGCTATATATAAATGAACAAGTGTAAAGGATAAAGATTCTTTACTTTTTTGTTTTTTTTTGGGTTGGGTGGGGGGTTATTTATCCAAAATACAGCCTATGTAAAATTTGTTAAGTGTCTTCAAGAAAGAGAAAAAGCTAGGATGTTCCAGTTGATATTTTAGTCTCTTTATTTTTACTTAAACTAGACGCTAGGTAACATTTTATTTTTTAAATTTTCTTATATCTTTTATATTATTGTACAAACACACAAAAAAAAAAAAAGCGGGATTCTTTACTTGTTCATTTTTTGTTCATTAGCTAAAAAATAAAACTAAAGCTATGAATAATTTGTTAATTATATTTATAAAATATAAAACAGAGGAAAAATACTACTTTGTTAAACTCAAAGCCTAGTGATGATAATTTTTGAATTATTTATTATTATCACAGCTCGGTAATGGATGAAACTTAATTTGACTACAGAGTTTTATCTTTTATTAATTTGTATTAGGTTGATTAGTTTTCAGTTAATATCTTAGTGATCTATCTTACCCTCGTAACAGTCTATTATCTAAATTTTTCAAACATGTTTTGAAATTAGAAATGTGTCCTTTTAAATAAAATTAACTCAACTGTAGTATAGGTTTTCTGATTTTGGGGGCGGACAAATTCTGAATCATGTTTAACACTTACACTTGTACATGCCTCCTTTAACGAAAAAAAAAAAAAAAAGCGCTCTCATCATTATGTATTTATGTTTTATATACTGCACAAACAAAAGAAGAGAGGGATTATCTTTAAGAAAAGTAAAGATATTATTATTTTCTTAATTATAGTTTCTTAATTATCTTTAAGAAAGGTAAAACAAAACATAAAGCATCGTAACTTATGGAATTACAACCATAATAAAGTACTTTAGGAAGTTAGAAGCTATAAATTATCCAACATAAAAACTAAAATCAATCCATTGTGCCTAAAATAAACCCAGTTAGTCTTTTCTAGTGATTACCTTTCTCTAGAAGTTCCACGCCATCGGTTGTTAATTTTCTGATGTATCATTAAACTCATGGCCTAGTAACGCATGATTAGGAGCATGAATGGTGCCTTGTACGATGCTATCTTAGCTTAGGAAAACCATTTACTATTATTCATAATTTGTGAGTTGTTTATCATTATCAAAGCTTTGGAAAGAATGAAACCTTTACTACTAAAACTTTAATTTTGTAGTAGCTCAATTAGTTTTCAGTTGATATTTTAGTCTCTTTATCTTTGTTTAAAGACTATATAATGACTCACACGTTCACTTAGTATGATATTGTCTGTTTTACATTTTAATTGTCGCATGGTTTTAATTTTGGACTGCATCTAAAAATGCCTCATACCATTACATATAACCTTTTCAGGCAACTTGAACTGTACAACTTACACTGTCTTAGCCTTTTTTCCGCAACGGGTTAATAACTGTCATAATCACTCAACCTTTTCCAATATCCTTGTTGGGCACATTTCTAGCTGGTTTATAGCTATGATATCATCTGTAATAACCTACATCTGTACCTGATAAGTTATTGTCTGCTTTGCACCTTAAATTAAACAATTTGTTTTCAGGTTTCACCCAAAAAGTCTCATATCATTAGGAGACAGTGTCATTAGTTATAGGTTATTACACAGCTTACTCTATCTTGGCCTTTTTGCTTTAAGGGATTTATGATTGTGACACCCTCTGCAATATTTAATTTTTTAAAATCTCAAACCAAGTTTTAAAATTAAAAATATACTTTACTTTAAATAAATTAAATTCAATCTCTAGCTAATCCCTGACCCTGCTTTTTAGGTGATTCATATTCGCTCTTTCTCTATATATTAGTTATGAACGCGCACTCAGTTTATGTGATTCATTTAAAATTGACTGTTATATAAATTATTTAAAAAAGAGTGAGTAGAAAAAAAAAATAAAGAAGAAAAGAATACAAAATTTGTTGGTCCCACCCAAAAACTCACGGGTGCGACATATCTGTAAGAGCTTTAATTATGAAATTTTTTTGGGGGTATGTGGTGGTATGGACTTATTTTGTTTAGGAACTCACCATGTGGAGCACACTTTCAGAGTCCACCAATAAGAAATTGACACTTGGTATTTCAATAAGAAAAAGAGCGGGATTCTTTAGTACTTGTTTATCTTCTTTATTATTATTTTTCCTTTCTGTTTGTTAGCTAAAAGAGAAAATAAAACAAGGAATAATTTGTTAATTATCTTTAAGAAAGTTTAAAAAAAAAAAAAGACAAATTGTAACTTATATGATTACAACCCGAATAAATTACTTTAAGAAGTTAATTAGAAGTTGCGACGTGACTTTTTGATGGTCTGTTTTACTACTTTCTTAATTTTTTGACATATCATTAAACTAACGTCCACATCAAATAAAAAAATAAAACTAAAGCTAGGAATAACTTGTTAATTATCTTTATTAAAGGTTATAAACAAAAGAAAAAGCATCGTAACTTTTGAAATTACAATCAGAATGAATTATTTAGGAACTTGTCTTTCACACCTTGCACTTGTACGTACGTGTCTCGTTCAACAAACATCACAAAAGGAAAAATCCTTTAATTATCCAACATGAAGGGAAAAACCACCCTCAACCGATTAAATCTTTTAAATGCCAAAAGTTCCCTCATTAGTTTACAAACAAAAAAACCCCGAATCCCTTTTTTTTTTTTTTTTTTTGGTTCTGCAAATCATGAATTGCTTTAAGATGTTTGAAGTTACTCATTCAGCGTAAAGTCTAAATACTCTAATGTATCTGTTGGGATTTGATTTGATTTGGATTTATTACTCAAAATTCTGATTTGATTTCCGGATTGCTTTTGATTGGTGATTGGCATTATTTTGGGATGCTCGGCTGATTGCTTTTATCCGAACCGCAATACCAATTCTCTTGTGTCCTATACTATTTCACGTTTTGGTTCTATATGTGTTTACTTTATACTTGCTAATAGACTCATCCCGTACTAACAATATCAAATTTATTTTTCATGTTTTCTTTCAATTTTGGTCCAAATACTCGTTGTCTCACCTTGCTCTCTAACCTTTCAAGTTTGACAGTGACACTAATGGCCCAACGTTGCACTTTTAGTCATTTCGTCACAAATTCGTAAATATTATACTTGTAAATTGTTAATAAACTTATTAATTTTTACTTATACAATAATTTATTATTAATAAAATAATAATTATAAATATATTACTAACATAGTAATTACTTTTATATCGGTTATTAATTAGTATTTTCTAATTATTTAGTATATTAGTTTATGATATATATAATATAATTATTAATATACACATTAACAACAATATAAAAATAATTGTAATATTATTATATTATTTTTATTTGCTAAGTGATTATCAATTATCAATTGCTTGATATATTCATTCAGGATTATTTGTTATATATACTCAAAACAAAATTTGATAAATATAACCAAACGCGATTTCACTTTTTTATTATATTCAAAATAATCTCTTAAAGAATCAACAAAATGCAATTTTAAGGTTCTAACACGATTATCATAACATTCTCATTTTTATTTTCATACTAAAAATAAAATCATTTTGAAAACGTTACCTAAGGGGCCGTTATTATTATTTTTTTATCTATCTTTCATAGGAAACTAGAAGTCGCATAGACCAATTAGTTCGGGGGAACGGACATGTTATAAATTATCATCAAGAAGTAATTAGACTAACAATTTCCTGATATATAGGCACAATAACATGCATAGCCATACGAAATTAGAGCGCAAGATCTATGTAACGATCACTAATTTATGCAAAATATTCTATGTTTTTATTAAACATACTTTAATCAACCTTGTTTTGCTAAAATTATAGTTGAGAAACAAATCATTTATCGCTACATATTCAAATGTAGGATTCCATTTCGCTACTTAAGATTTAATCCACATAAGCCTTCTTTGTTCTCTATTCATTTTTTTTTTTACTTAACACGCTGAAGCTAGTAATGAATGGTCAAACCAAAAAAAAAAAGAAAGAAAAAGCAAGCATTCTTTGCTGTTTCTTCTTCTTCTTCTTCTTCTTTTCTTCTTTTGCCGAGCAAACGTGAAAAAAAAAAAAAAAAAAAGCACAATTTGTGAATTGCCTTTAATTAAAAAAAAAAAAAAAACTAATGAGAAGGAATTCTATATTCTTTTCGTACAGGAACTTTAATTTTGAAGATTCGCTTTAAAGGATTATCTAAATATTTAATAAATAATAATAATTTTATGGAGAAACTTCCAGATTAGATGTCATGGATACTATATAATATAGGAGCACACCAACACTCTTTTATACATCTCAACTTAAAGAGTTAGCTGAGTTATACCAAAATTTTCCTAGAGCCAAAAAAAAAAAAAAAAAAAAAAAAAAGAAGAAAATCTTAGATATGGCAGATCAAAAGAGAGGTAGCATTGCCTTCTTCGCCACATATCGACCACCGGTGCCACTCGACATATTCTCATGCCCAATTCCACCGACGTCGAAGAAAGATGAGCTTCACATGACCGACGGAGTGTCCTACAACTACAACGCCCAAGTCATTCCACCAGCAGCGCTCAAGACGATTCTCAAACGCCCAAAAGTTGCTTCAGAAGCCAATGAGGACGACGTCGATTCGGGTCGTCTCTCGGGCATGATCTTTGTCTCCGAACGAGGCAACCTCGAAACGCTTCACATAGCTCTCCGCTTCAATGACGAGACTGCACCAAAAGTAAAAGTCTTTAGTTTGGCTGATGTTTTCGGTGCAGCCACATTCAATGGTGTTCGCATGGAAGACAGTGGCTGCATTGCTGGTGATCATCTCGTCTATATCACCACCAAGGACCCCGCTGATCGTCATCAACCCTGGACCGCCGTCTATAAAACCAATCTCGTGACTGGAGAAACCGACCGCCTCACCCCATCAGGTCCCTTGCTGAGTTTCGATTTACATATATATTATTTATGTATATTATTTGTTATGGTCCTACCTACAATTATAACACAAAGAATAAGTGCGTTATAACATTTATTCAAGTAACATAGAAAAAATGTAGCAATAATCTGTAATAACTAAATTTCTTGGTTTTACTTACATTTTTAACGTCAGTGTTACGTTGATTATACAACTGCTAATTTTCTGCTCACTGTTAATTCATCAATGAATAGAGCACTCTGATTTAAGCCCCTCCGTGTCACCGTCCGGAAAGAAGATAGCGGTGGCATCATTCCAGAGAAAGGGTGGTTGGAATGGAGAGATCGAGGATCTAAAGACTGACATTTTTGTGATGAATGTTGAGGAGCGGCTCGAACGCAAGTTGGTTATAAAGAATGGTGGGTGGCCGACCTGGGGAAGTGACAATGTCATATTTTTCCATCGGAAGGTTGATGAATTTTGGGGTGTGTTTCGAGCTGACATTAGTGACGGCCAAACATCTCGCGTGACCCCAGAAGAAATTAATGCGATAACTCCGGCTGCCATCAATGCCACCACAGTTGCAGCGGCAACAATTCGTCAAAAATCACAATTTAACGACGTCCGTGTAGAAGCACAATATCGACACATTGAGATTTTTGATTCAACTGGACAACTACAAGAACCCATACAAATCACTCAGAAAACCAGACCAAAGGCTGACCATTTCAACCCCTTCGTGATAGACAATGGTAAGCACATCGGTTACCATCGTTGCAAGAGCGACCTCCTTAAGGTATACCACTGCCAACTACTTTGAATTCCTTAATTTCTTGCTAGCCATCTCTATCTACCTATCTATATATCTGTTTGTCTCCCTATCTATTTATCTATATATATATATATATATGTATAACAATGATCTACCTTGGATAAAATGTTGTCTCTAATTTTTATTCATATTGCTCTACTGAAAGATATTTTTTACTCCGCCACTGGTGACAGTGTGGAGAGGATATCCCCAGACAGTTCCACAAGCTTGACTCTCCGCATCCAGATGTAGGATTGTTTAGGGTGTCGGGAGTGTTTCCAACGTTTTCCCAAGACGGCTCCAAGCTCGCATTTGTTGACAATGAGTTCAAGGCCGTGTGGGTTGCTGATAGCAAAGGGTTGCGTATTGCTTACGAGGTAAGTATATTGACATATGTCATATGAAAGAATCATATAGTATTGATGTGCAGTTGTATATAGCTTTTCATTAGTAGCTGATGATGATGTTTGTTTATAAATGTAGACAAAAGGACCGGACAGCATCTTCTCGCCGGTTTGGAACCAAGACACAAAAAAGGATTTACTTTACGTATGCATGGGACCTTCTTTCAATGCCGAAAAAAGACTAGACATCTGCGCCATCCCTGAAGTGTCCCGTTGCGCAAAACATCGTCGGCAGCTCACAATAGATTTCAATAACGCCTTCCCGTCCACCAATCCAGATGGTAACTTCCTAGCCTACTTGTTTCTTCCGATTTCTTTCCGAGCACAGAATATAATTGAATGACATACTGATATGCTGTTCAATATCCCATCAAGCACTGTAAATATTATTTTTTTAACTTAATGTAAACAGGGACAAAATTAGTTTTTCGATCTACAAGAGATGGAGGAGATGAAAGATACAAGAACCTATACATAATGGAGGACGCGGAATCTGGGGAATATGGAGATGGCATAATAACAAGGCTAACAAATGGTCCTTGGATTGACACACATTGCCAATGGTCCCCAAGAGGAGATTGGATAGTCTTCTCGTCAACCCGCGACAAGCCAGAAGATGCACCGGAAAGTGACAATGATCTTGACCCTGGATACTTTGCAGTGTATTTGGTGAAGGCGAATGATCCGTCAGTGGTGGTAAGAGTGTTAGGAAGTGGAAGTGATGTTGCAGGGCATGTGAACCATCCGATCTTCAGTCCGGATGGAAAGAGCATCGTTGTAACCGCAGATCTTGCTGCAGTGTCGGTTGATCCCATCTCTTTGCCACTCTTCTTGCACTCTGTGAGGCCTTATGGAGATATCTTCACTATCGACATTGATCCAGACGACATATATATGAACGAGGATGTGGAGAAGTGCAATCGCATCACACATAGTAGATACGAGAATTCCACTGCTAGTTGGACCACGTTCTCAACTGAAGACCCCAATGCAGCATGGAACTTGCAGTTAGACAAAGTCTACACTCCGTCATGCCCTTACGCATATTGCGACGGAGGCGAAACTTGGCACATGACCGGCCACCTTTGCATCCCAAAAAGATGTTGTTGACTTGTACACTGCCTTTATTTGTATTCCTTTCTAACTGTTTTCCTTTTTATCCGGCCGTGTGTTTTTATCCGGTGTGTCAGTTTGTGTGTGTGTTTCTTTTCATCAGGTGTGTTTTTATTTGATATTTCTATGATAGTACTGCATTTTCAATGCAAGAGCTAGTAATGGCCACAGAGTTGTATAAGTAGTATTGCTTGATGCTTCCAAACTTGAAATTTGAATGCTGAAAATCTTAGTTGTTGTTTTCAAAATAAATCCTATGATAAATTATACTCTTGGTTGTTCTCTGTGTATTCCCACCTTTCACCAACTTAACTCTATAGAATGCCTCTTCACATCTCTACTTGAATATTTAAGCCTTCCCTACATTTATCAATACAAAAAGAAAACATCTATAAAAAGGAAAAAGAAAACAAAAAGAATTGCAAATGGAGTTACAATCAGAGTCAATTACTTTAGGAAGTTAGAAGTTACTCATGCAACGTAATGTCTAAACTTAATCTAATGTACCCAACTTTTTTTTTTTTTTTTTTTTTTAACAGAACCCATCTTTGTTAAAAAAAAAAACCATATTTAATAATGATTGATAATTTATGAACAGTTTATTATTACAAGACCTCTGAAACAAAAATGAAAAGCTTTATTTGAAAGTCTTTATTTGTTTTTAACGGGAAGTTGCATTTAATTAAAATTTGATAAACAATCATCTTAGTGTAAAGATAATGAGCTGTTAGAAGGACAGACGTATGCTTGAGGCCCGAAAAAGGGAGAATACCTCAACGCACTAACAACAAGTACAATAAAAGTTTGAATTACAGAAACTCCCCCATCGAGATAAGCTTTTGAGGGCTAGAGAGACAGATCGCCAAACCCTACAAAGAGGGCACATCTACGCTGCATAGAAAAAGCTCTAGTGAGATTAAGACAACTCTACCAGAAGACATACAAACGGCCTTAAGTCGATCACCAAAAACTAATAACAAATAGCAAAACAAATAAGGGTAAGATGGGGAGACCAACGCCCTTATTACAAACACAAAAATTACATTGAAAAAACAGAAAAAATTTCCGACCACCGGCAGTAGAACCCTCTAGTGAAGGCCAACCGGCCAATGTGCCGTGGAGGGAGATACTTGCCAAGAGATTTCAGCCATCAAACTATAAAATTGCCTAAAAATGAAGCTCATCTGTTCAGCTTTTAAGCTCCAAACCGTTTAACTCCACCCAACTACACCGTACACCGCCACCACTAATGAAAAGCTCACAACCAGGTAAGCCGGAAGACCAAGTTTCATGGCCGAGAGTCCGACGGCGTGCCTGGAACTCTGGTTATCGTTCACTCTTTTTTCTTTACTTTGTGTGGGAGGGAGTGAGTTGAAAACCCTAAAACCTCAAAAAAAAAAAAAAAAAAAAAAAAACTTGTGAATGGTGAAATTAAAGTCTCTATTTTTTTAGCTATTAATATTTTTTAGTTGATATTTTTGTCTGTTTAGTTTTATTTGAGGACACTTGGGTACTATTTGTATTTACTAAATTTAGAGAACATGTTTTGAATTTTTTTAATGTGTTTTATCGTTAAATTAACTTTACTTAGACTTTAATTATTCAATATTAATCGTGGTTTTCAGGCGTTACAAAATCTCTTTTTAAATTCATACCATTTTCTTTGACACTTGAACTGGCACGTCTCTCCTTCAGGTAAAAATTTACAAATATCCCTTTAAATAGTACATATTTAATGTTTGACCCATAAATATTGGCCCATTAATATTTAGTCAAATAACTATATTAGTTAAAATGTTATTAATTAAAAGTAAAGAGTATAAATCCATATGCACTCTAAAAGTAATTAGTTCAACAATTTTCTCTTCCTTCAACGACTAATACAGAAGTAAAATTAAAAAACTATCTCTTGTATATGTTCTCAAATTAAAGAGGATCTCAAAAAAGTATCCCTAATTAACTCGTTAACTTTATAAAAGTATCCCTAATTGCCTCTGAACAACAAAAAAGTAGGATTCTTTACTTGCTTCTTTTTGGTTGTTTAGATAAAAAGAAATTAATTAAAGCTAGGAACAATTTTTTTAGTTGTCCCTAAGAAAGTAAAAAGAAAACATAGCGAATTCGAACTACAAAAAAAAAAAAAAAAAAAAAAAAAAAAAAAAAAAAAAAAAAAAAATTTAGGAAGTTTGACTTATCCGTTAATGTAAAGTGCAAACTAATCTAATGTACCTAACTGCTTTTTCTAAAGGATTCCTCATCTCATTATTGACAGATATCTTAGTCTCTTAAATTAGATATCAAGATTCTAGGGCACAATTTGGAAAGAATTAAGGGTAGAATTCTTTACTTAATTTTTTTTCCTTTATCCTAATTAAGGACGAACATCGAAAGCATTGTGAAAGGAATTACAAATAGAATAAAATACTTTAGAAAGTTAGAAGTAACCCATTCAATGTCGTAAAGTCTAAACTCAATCTAATCTATCTAATTTTTTTTTCCCTAAACCATGTTTACTATTTCAAGAGAATCAATTTTTATGATTATGATCAAACTGGAGCTGAAAAAAAAAGTTGCGAATAATTTGTTAATTGTCTTATGAAAGAAGGGAAGGACATGGAAATCATTCAGAATGAAACTACAAATAGAATAAATTACATTAGGAAGTTAAAAGTTACACATTCAACGCAAATTCAGAAATCAATATAATGTATCAATCTTTTTTTTATTTTTTATTTTACGGAATCCATCTTTATTAAAAATAGTTACACTTTACTTGTGATTTTCATCCGTGAGAGCTGAAAAATAAAAAGCTAAAGTTTCGAATAATTTGTTAATTGTCTTACCAAAGAAGGAAACAATATGGAAATCATTGCGAATGGAATTATAGCTAGAGTATATTACTTTAGGAAGTTAGAAGTTATGAATTCAACGTAAAGTCTAAACTCAATCTAATGTATGTAATTTTTTTTTTTTTTTAATGGAATCTATCTTTGTTAAAAGAGTCAATCTTTACTTCTGGTTATCATTCTGGATCAGAAAAATGAAAAACTAAAGTTACAAGTAATTTGTTAATTTTTTTGCAAAAGAGGAAAGAACGAGGAACACATTGCGAACGTAGAATGCATTAACGTGAAGTCTAAACTCAATCTAACATACCAAATGGCTTTTTTAGGGAATCCATCTTTGTTCAACTCAGGCGATCTTTTCTCGTGATCATCAATCTCGACATGAAAAACAATAAAAACAAAATTAAAGCTATGAATAGTTTCTTAATTGTCTTACAAGAGGAGGAAAGAATGAGGAATACAATGCGAATGGAATTACAACTAGAATAAATTACTTTATGAAGTTAGAAGTATTCCATTCAACGTAAAGTGAAAACTCAATCTACCTAATGGCTTTTTTACATAATACATCTTTATTTGACTTAGTTGATCTTCTCTTGTCATTATCATTCTCGAGATAAAAAATAAAAGAAAAAACAAAATTAAAATTACAAGGAATTTATTAATTTTTCTTATGAGATGAGGGAAAAACGTGGAATGTAATACAAATGGAATTACAACTAGAATAAATTACTTTCAAAAGTTCGAAGTTAACCATGCAACCCAAAGTCTAAACTCAATCTACCTAATGGTTTTTTTACGGAATCCATCTTTGTTCGAGTCAGTTGATCTTTTCTTGTGATTATCATTTCGGAGATGAAAAACAATAAAAAAATGATTAAAGCTACACGTAATTTGTTAATTTTTCTTACGAGAGGATGAAAGAACACGGAATGTAATGCGAATGAATTACAACTAGAATAAATTACTTTAGAAAGTTCAAAATTATCCATTCAATGTAAAGACAAAACTCAATCTATCTAATGGCTTTTTTTTGCGGAATCCATCTTTGTTCAACAAAGTTGACCGTTTCATGTGATTATCATTCTCGAGATGAAAAATAATAAAAAGAAAATTAAAACTATAAGTAATTTGGTAATTTTTCTTACGAGAGGAGGAAAGAATGTGGAATGTAATTCAAATGGAATTACGATTAGAACAAATTACTTTAGGAAGTTGGAAGTTATCCATTCAATGTAAAGTCTAAACTCAATCTACCAAATGGTTTTTTTATAGAATCCATCTTTATTCAACCTAGTTGATCTTTCCTTGTGATTATCATTCTCAAGATGAAAAACAATAGAAAGAAAATTAAAACTACAAATAATTTGTTAATTTTTCTAATGACAGGGGGAATGAAAGTTGAATGTAATGCGAATGGAATTACCACTAGAATAAACTACTTTACGTAGTTAGAAGTTGTCCATTCAATGTAAAGTCAATACTCAATCTAATATACTTAATGGCTTTTTGACGGAATCCATATTTGTTCAACTCAGTTGATCTTTTCTTTTGATTATCATTTCTGAGATAAAAGACAATAAAAAGAAGATTATAGCTACTTAATTTTTCATACAGAATATGGAATGTAATGCGAATGGAGCATAAGTAGAATGAATTACTTTAGGAAGTTAGAAGTTATCCATTCAACGTAAAGCCAAATCTCAATCAACCTAGTGGCTTTTCTGTGAAATCCATATTTATTCAACTCAGTTGATCTTTTTTGGTGATTATCATTTTTGAGATGAAAATTAAAGCTACAAGTAGTTTTTTAAATTTTCCTATGTGAAGTGGAAAGAACGTGGAATGTAATGTGAATGGAATTACAACTGGAATATATTAGTTTCTGAAGTTAGAAGTTACCCATTCAATGTAAAGTCTAAACTCAATCTAATATACCTAATGGCTTTTTTATGGAATCCATCTTTATTCAACTCAATTAATCCTTTCTTGTGATTATCATTCTGGAGTTGAAAAACAATAAAATAAAAAAAAATTAAAGCTACAAGTAATTTGTTTGTTGTCTTACAAGAGGAGGAAACAACGTGGAATGTATTGCGAATAGAATTACAACTAGAATAAATTACTTTAGAAAGTAAGAAGTTATCCATAACGTAAAGTCAAAATTCAATCGAATATACTTAATGGGTCTTTTACGGAATCCATCTTTCTTCAACTTAATTGATCTTTTCTTGTGATTAACATTCTCGAGCTGAAAAAGCAAATGGACGAAATCTACGAATAATTTGTTAATTAACTTACAAAAGGACGAAAGAACATTGAACTCGTTGTTATTGGAATTACATCTAGAATAAATTACTTTAGGAAGTTAAAAGTTACTCATTCAATGTAAAGCTATGAATAACTAATAGTTCTTTTTTTTTTTTTTTTAAATTACGGAATCTATGTTTTCTAAACACAGTTAATCTTTTCTTGTGATTGTTATTCTCAAGGTGAAAAACAAAAATACTAAAGCTACAAATAATTTGCTAATATTTTCCAAAATGCAAAAAGAACATGGAAAGCACTGCGAATGGAATTACAACTTGAATTAATTACTTTATGTAGTGAGAAATTACCCATTTAACGTAAAGCCTAAACTAAAAATAATGTTCCTCACTTCATTTTATTGAATCCATCTTGTTTAAACCTTTAATATTTTCTTGTGATTATCATTCTCGAACACAAAAGTAGAAAAAAAAAATAAAGTTTAAGAATAATTTCTCAATTATCTTGCAAAAGGAGAAAAGAACATGGAAAGCATTGCAAATGTAATTACAACTCAAATAACTTGCTTCAGGAAGTTAGTATTTATATGTTGATTGGGAGTATGGATGACACGTTGAGCGATGCTTTTTTAATTGAGGAAAACCATATTATATGCTTGATATTTTACGAACAGTTTACTACTGTAAGACCTTCCAATCTTAAAAAAATAATTATTGTTTCTCATCATTCAATTATTTCTGCCATTGAAAAATATCCTGTAAAACATGAAAAGTATTTTGGTAGAATACGAAAATATCTTATTAAAACATATTCTAAAAAAATATAAAAAATATCCTATCAGAATATCAATAGCATAAATAATAAATTTAAAATTGATAACAGAAATTAAATAGTGTTATCTTTTTTATGGAATTCTTCAAACTTTCTCTTTTCATTATCACTACGTCTCTGAATATAGAAATCTTTTTTTTTTTGTTTGTAAAATGAGATTAAAAAACTTTACTAGACAAGGTAAAACTATCTTACAAATAATAAAGAAATTAACCAAAACAAATACAAACAAACGAAAAATAAGCATAAAACAAAAAAGAAAAAAAAAAGCAAGACATTAGAAAAATCTAAGATCTTCCCATTTTAAAACCCACCGCTCACGGCGAGCTCTAAGCTTCTAGGATGACTCCTTCATCTCCAGATTAACGTTCGATTCTTTTTCTCAAATTTAACAAGATCTACCAATTTTTTCCATGAACCCGATCAAGCAACAATATAGGATTCTGTTCAGTTTTATTTCCAATTTAATCCACAGAAAATTATTGTTTTATCCCGGGAATTTATTTAATTAACAAGCTAAATCAAGGACATTTGATGTTTCTTTTTCTTTGTTCTTTTCCTGAAGCAAATTAAAGAGAAAAAGAAAAAAGAAAAAAGAGAGGAAAAGAAGTTGAAGCTAGGAGCAGTTTTAGAATTGTTTTAATATTAAAGAAAAAGAGAAGCATTAACTATTGCGAAAAAAGGAAAGTATAATGTGATCATTTCGTATAGGAATTTTTATTTTCAAGGTTCCCTTAAAAGAATTTATATAACAATGAAAATAATAATAACGTTATGGATAAACTTCCAGATAAGCAGTCAAGGAACACTATATATAGGAGCACACCAACGCCCAATTTTATGCATACATCTCAAGGTAAAGAGTTTTCAGATAAAAAGTGAAAATCATCAGATGGCTAATCAAAAGAGAGGAAGCATTGCATTCTTCGCAACATATCGACCACCGGTGCCGCTCGACATATTCTCGTGCCCACTTCTACCGACGTCGAACAAGGATGAGCTTCTCATGACCGATGGAGTGTCCTACAACTACAACGCCCAAGTCATTCCACCGGAGGCTCTAAAGACAATTCTCCAACGCCCAAAATTGGCTTCCGAAGCCAATGCGGCCGACGTAGATGCAGGCCGTGTGTCGGGCACGATCTTTGTCTCCGAACGAGGAAACCTCGAAACGCTTCACATAGCTCTCCGCTTCAATGACAACACAACGGCACCAAGAGTGAAAGTCTTTAGTTTGGCTGATGTTTTCGGTACAAGCAGCTTCATCGGTGTTCGCATGGAAGATAGCGGCTGCATTGCCGGTGATTATCTCGTCTATGTCACCACCAAAGACCCTGCCGAGCGTCGTCAGCCTTGGACTGCTGTTTATAAAACCAATCTTAAGACTGGAAAAACCGAGCGCCTCACCCCACCAGGTTAATTCCTTCATTGACTTTTGATACAAACACACTCACACACATACGTAACATATACAAGTGATAAGACTAGCATGCGTGACATTTTTATTCAACATAACGTAATGGAAAAGCTGTAATCATATTGTATGATAATTAAATTTCTTGTCGTTGCACAATTCTAACTTCCTGTTATGTTGAATAAATGAAATCTAACTTTTCTTGTTTCCATATCTTATAGTATGCCTTTTTGTTTTTACTCATAAACTTGGACAAATCAAGCTAATTGTCTTGTCATTGTTAATTCACCAATCAATAGAGCATGCTGATTTAAACCCCTCCGTGTCACCGTGCGGAAAGAAGATAGCGGTGGCATCATTCCAAAGAAAGGGTGGTTGGGATGGAGAGATTGAGGATCTGGAGACCGGAATTTTTGTGATGAATGTCGAGGGGCGGCTCGAACGCAGGTTGGTTGTAAGGTATGGTGGGTGGCCATCGTGGGGAAGTGACAACGTCATGTTTTTCCACCGTAAGGTTGGTAAATTTTGGGGTGTGTTTCGAGCTGATTTCTGCAACCGCCAAATATGTCGTGTGACCCCTGACGGAATCGACGCGATGACTCCGGTCGCCATCAACGCCAATATAGTTGTAGTGGCAACTATTCGTGATCGGAAAGCACAATTCAGCAATGTTCGTAACGTATCACAATATCGACACATTGAGATTTTTGATTCAACTGGAGAAGTGCTACAACAAGCCTTACCAATCACTCAAAAAATAAGACCGAAGGCCGACCATTTCAACCCTTTTGTGATAGATGGTGGTAGGCGCATTGGTTACCATCGTTGCAAGAGTGAAATTCTTAAGGTACCACCACTAACGATTTAATTTTTTAGCTAAATGTGCATGGGCATGCAAACGTATACGTACGCACGTACATACTAATTGAGTTGGAGCAGTTCTTGCCCGCCACACAATGTTTGAAATTTGACTTTTACCCATAAAATGTATCAAAAGTTTTAGATATAGCAATATTTTGCAAGAAATTATATAATTGTGCTCCGACTAGTTGAAGTATGTTGTTGCGCTCTCACATACAAGTATATTTATCACTTCAATGAGTTACTATGTTTTCATAGTTAAAAAAAATGGCTTTGTCACTGATGACAGGGTGGAAAGAGTATTCCAAGACAATTCGACAAGCTCCATTCACCGCATCGGGATCTTGGACTATTTCGGGTGTCGGGAGTGTTTCCGACGTTTTCCCAAGATGGCTCCAAGCTTGCATTTGTTGACAATGAGTTCAAGGCCGTGTGGATTGCCGATACCAATGGGCTGCGTATTGTTTATGATGTGCGTCATCTAAATGCAAAAGATCATAAAGTATCACTTAATTTATACGCAATTGTATATAATGAAGATGAGTTTTTTCTTTCTTTTTTTTTTTTTTCTATGTAGACGAAAGGCCCCGACAACATCTTCTCGCCGGTTTGGAACCAAAATAAGGAAAAGGATATTCTCTATGTATGCACCGGACCTTCTTTCAACTCCGCCCAAAGTCTGGACATCTGCGCCATCCCCGAAGTGTCCCGTGGCGCAAAACATCGTATACAGCTAACAAGAGTTTCCAACAACGCCTTCCCATCCACCAATCCAGCTGGTAACAACTTCCTAGCTATACTTGCTCCTTCTAATTCCTTTCAAAATTCCTGTTATAACGTGATATAATTAATAGAACTAGAATTTGTTTAACTTAATGTAATAGGGACGAAATTAGTATTTCGATCTACGAGAAACGGAGGGGATAAGAAATACAAGAACCTATACATAATGGAGAATGCAGAATTAGGCGAATATGGGGATGGCATAATAACAAGGCTAACAAATGGGGCTTGGACTGACACACATTGCCAATGGTCCCCAAGGGGAGATTGGATAGTCTTTTCTTCAACCCGCGACAAGCCAGACGATGCACCGGAAAGTGACAATGGTCTTGACCCAGGATACTTTGCGGTATTTCTAGTGAAGGCGAATGATCCGTCAGTGGTGGTAAGAGTGTTAGGAAGTGATAGTGATCTTGCAGGGCATGTGAACCATCCGTTCTTTAGTCCGGACGGAAAGAGCATTGTTGTGACTGCGGATCTTGCTGCGGTGTCTGTGGATCCTATCTCTTTGCCTATTTTCGTGCACTCTGTGAGGCCTTATGGCGATATTTTCATTATCGACATCGACCCGGATGACATAAACAAGAATAAGGACGTGGAGAAGTTCAATCGCATCACGCATAGTAGATACGAGAATTCGACTGCTAGTTGGACCACCTTCTCGACTCAAGACCCGAACGCAGCATGGAACCTGCATTTTGACAGAGTCTACTTTCCGGCATGCCCTTATGCGCAATGCGATGGAGGCGAAAGTTGGCACATGACCGGCCACCTTTGCATCCCAAAACGATGTTGCTGAGCTGATTGCCTTTGTGTTCTTGTGATCCAGTTTGTGATCTGCATGTGTTCTTGTGATCCAGTTTGTTTTCATTTGACTTTTTTTTTCTTTTTTATTGAAAGTGTGTTTTCATCTGGTGTGTGATTTTTTCCTTTTCATCAGGCGTGTTTTCAGTATCTTTATTACTAAAACTGATCGTTGTTATCTTTATCTCAGTTATTTTTTCTGAAATGGCGCTTGTATATAAATAAAGTACTGCTTCTTTCTACTCGTGGTATTTTGTTTATTATTAAGTAGTACTAAAATCTTTGTGAAATGATCAAAGTTGGTATTTAGTAATTTGGACATATATGCTAATGTTCTGAATATCTACAATCAGAAACGTAGCATTATAAGTTTAAAACATAAACGACAAAATCTTATCACAGTCCTTATCGCTTTACCAATTATTTGCAAGAAGGGCTGCCCTCAATTTTTTCTTATCAGAATACCTTACGGAATTGTAATAATGCCCTCTGTTTTCCTTTTTTTTCCCTTTCTCTTCTTTTTTTTTTCCTAAAAAAATTCATGTTTCCCATTAAGCAAACAATGTGACAAGTCAAAACAAATAATAAATCATGGTTTCAGAAGAAGGATGTTGAATAGAACAAACAAAAACATAAAATGCCTATTATTAAAGCTTTAATTTTAAAAGTATCGATTATTATACAATATTACAAAAATGCCAATTAAAACATATATGTAACCGCATATGCCCTTATAGATTATTTTGCGGAATATATATAGTTAATTTTTATTTGTTTTTATCGTAATATTCCACATATTTACTTTCCCTTTTATCTCTAATTAATTGTCCGTAATCAAAAATTTGATTTATTTTTATTAAGGTATTTTTTAATCAGCTGATTTCCCTCTTAATTTTCTTGTTTAGACTTCCACACGCACAATTGGAGTTTTAAGCTTCTCCACTAATGGTTGATAATTCGGATAGATTGAATTCAGCAGACAAAAGTGGAAGATACAATTGGGCTTTAAAGACACAGATTAGCTCACAGGCCTAAGAGAGGCAACTTCTTCCCTTAATCCGAACTCACCAAATCCTATTTCTCTGGAATTGATACAATCTTGGAAAAACAAAAGGGCATTTCTTCTTCTTTGTCTTCCTCTTGTTATTCTTTTCCTTTTGATTTTATGGGTTTGCATTCTTCTCCATATAACATTTTTGTTTTGCTGTTTTGTTTTTCATGGGATATGGGTTCTAACTTGTTCTAGCATTATTAAATCAATAACATTATCATTACAGGAATGAAACAACGTTTTTATGAATTCGTGTATTCTTGCGTGTTTGTTGTTTGAGACTTTTTACAAAAATTTTATATTCGGTTTGTTTCATAATGAAATCATCATTAAAATAATGAAATTTTTTTTTTTTTTTTTTTTCTGAAAATGGCGCTTGTATATAAATAAAGTAGTGCTTCTTTCTACTCATGGTATTTTGTTTATTATTAAGTAGTACTAAAATCTTTGTGAAATGATCAAAGTTGGTATTTAGTAATTTGGACATATATGCTAATGTTCTGAATATCTACAATCAGATAAGTTTAAAACATAAATGACAAAATCTTATCACAGTCTTTATCGCTTTACCAATTATTTACAAGAAGGGCTGCCCTCAATTTTTTCTTATCAGAATACCTTACGGAATTGTAATAATGATTTTTCGTATGCTTAATTTTCATTCTAGCTCAAAATTATTAGAGGATCTGCAAGTAAAAAGTCACCAAATTATTTATTATTATAAATTGAATAACTTGGAATTCTGAATTCATTCACTATAGCAGAAACTGTACAAGAGATTTTTAGGAAAATACAAGTTGACTTTTAAATCTCTAGATAAGGAAACAACTCCTACAGATATGTGCCCATAATATTTTAGCTAGTTTAGAGTTCATATATGTACATTAGTTTGCATGGACATCGTTGTTTTAAACATGTCATATGAATCAGACGGTTGTTATAAATTGAATAGCTAACCAAAATAAATTATGACAATTAATTAGTAAGATTGAATTCTTGTTATTATACATCATTAATTTTATTAAAATAAACCCTTATTAGAAACAGTAAAAAATAGAGATGTAATCATTAAAAACAAGTCCGCATATTATACGAGGTTATGCTAATGTCGGTTGCTCATCTCTACAATTTAAAAAACAGTGATTTAACTGCCATGAATTCTACTTGTTCACACAAGACCAAATGATGATACCCCTCTATACGTGATTTGGCTATGCCTATATCGACGACAGGGACGAAAAAATCCACTAGTGTGAAACAGTGATTTAATGTCGGTTGCACTATTTCAGTTCACTCAGAAAATTCCTAGTTACCACATTACACTCAAGAACAAAACCCTTTGTTTTCCTTTTTTTTTCCCCTTTCTTCTTCCTTTTTTCCAATTAAGGAAACAATGTGACAAGTCAAAACAAATAATAAACCATGATTTCACAAGAACGATGTTGAATAGAACAAACAAAAAAAAGTAATTACATAAAATGCCTATTATTAAAGCTCTAACTTTAAAAATATCGATTATTATACAATATTACAAAAATACTAATTCAAGCATATATGTTACCGGATATGCCCTTATGGATTATTTTGCGGAACATATATGGTTAATTTTTATTTGTTTTTATCGTAATATTCCACATATTTTCTTTTCTTTTTATCTCTAATTAATTGTTTGTGATCATTTAGCCAATGTACAAACGAAGGTCCGTCGTTTATACTAATGTAAATGCGAGAAGCAGAGCAAACTTTTCGAGGATGAAGACATCGCCATGCTTTTGTTTGATAATTGTTTTATTGTAATTATTTATTGTTTCTTTACCTATAGTTTTTGTGAGGTTGTTTTTTTCTTTATTGCAATTTTTATTTTATTATGATTTGTTCATATTTATTCTTTTTCAGAATATTCATTCCTGGTCATTTAAATTTCATATTCATTTTTTTACGTATTTCTTAAATCACCGCATTAATAAAACAATTTCGTATGTTGATTGTTTGATACATATTGTATTGATTTTTTTTTTTTTTTGCATGTTTTTTCTTAATGATGTGACGATTAAACTAATGAAAATATTTTTTTTTGTCCCTTTGATATTTTTGACGCAAATGCCTCTTCATACTTTTGATGAAGAAAACGAGGAGTGCAGTCCTTTTTTTTTTTTTTTTTGTCTGTATGTGATGATTGAATCCATAGCTCACATCAAGTAACTAACAAATCCACATGTTGTCATTTTCTATTCTATAATTAGATCATACACATAAATCTTTCCTTTAAGTGTACATAAAAATTTGTACAACTTTTAGTAGTTAAATTGACTACTTGGAGAATCAATTTAATTTTCAAATTTGGAGGGCATAATATCAAATCAATTTAATCTTGATTAAGGATACATTTAAGAAAATTATTTTAAAAACTGTTTTCATAAGAATAAATTAGAGAAAAATCATTAAGTTAGATACATCTAAAAATATAAGGTTTAATTAAAAAAAAAAAACAATTGAGATTGGGTTTTGTGAGGATATTTTTAAAATTTTTATTGAAAAACCATATCTTAAATATCAAATATCAAAAATACACCGCGCCACTGTTCTTGGGTATACTCTTGGAGTTATGGATTTTTTGAATGAAAACTCAAAGTGGTCAATGACTTGGTGATTGTAAATTTATAGTTTTATGTGGTTTTCCAACATAGATAGATTGTCGTAATTGAGTGTTATATTTCTTACGAAGAAAAAACATGTAGTATTGAGAGTGGTTTTCCAACATACATAGATAGTTTTATGTGGTTTTCCAAACCCATGTAGTATTGAGTGTTATATTTCTTACGAAGAAAAAACATAGATAGATTGTCGTAATTGTGGCACATGCAATTATATTTCTTACTTTTCAAGCATTGATTTCCTTTTTTTTATTTTTTTTTATTTTTTGCTTTTGAAAATGATGAGTCTGTTACAATATCTGATTCTTCAAGCATTTATTTCTTTGAATCTATTTTTGTCTATTTTTTCATATATATATATATGTGTGTGTGTGTGTGTATATATATATATATATATATATTAGTGCATGTTTCGGCAAAGATAATGATTTAAAAGCAAAATAATTGCATATATATTATTATATATATATATAAGTGCATGTTTCGGCAAAGATAATGATTTAAAAGCAAAATAATTGCATATATATTATTATATATATATATAAGTGCATGTTTCGGCAAAGATAATGATTTAAAAGCAAATAATTACATATGATACATATATATATATATGTTTGTCGGCAACAGTAATAAAATGTAGGAAAATAATTTATTTAGTGGTGCCGACACATGAATCAAAGCAGACAATTAAAAACAGAGCCTTCTTGCAAATATTTTTAATAAAAGGTAAATTTGTAATTTTCTTAAAATAAACGGTCAAGATGTAAATATTTTGAAAATTTCAAAATGCATAAAAATGCATCTTTATACTCATATTTCATAAAAATATCACTGAAATTTAAAATAGGCCCGCTATTAGATAATGATACGCTGTACAAAAAAGCTGTACAATTCTCCCTTCTTTAAATGAATTTCGTCCTGAAAATTCTAAGCCTAAACACAGATCAAAATCAAGAGCCTAAATCATCAAAGTCATATGTTCTATCCTCAAATTATTAAGATTTCCAACCTATCCTCAAAACTAAGGACCATTTCCACAAAAATTTTGGAATAATATTTTGGAATGAATAAACAAACTTAGTGGATCATGGCAGGAACAACATTATAACATGGTCATTTTGGAACGAATAATTTCGGTTGAATGTTAAAAATTTTCAATTCAGCTCATAACAATAAACAATTCAATTGAAAGACATAATATTTAAAATCTACGCTCTAAACAGTAGAAAAATAATTATCTAAGTCGTTTGTCATTTTTATTTCAGACGAATATGATTTTTATTGAGAAACCCAAATCAGTGAAAGCAGACAAAATCAATGCCAAACAGCAGGGGCACGCGAAACACGAGAGAATTGAACAACAGACTCCACTCTCACACAAACAAACAAAAGAAAACAAAGTTAAATGAAAATTATAGAAACATTATCACAGATTGAATACATATAAGCCAAATTGGTCTGTAGAATATATGCGATTTTTCTTTCAGACGAATATGATTTTTATTGAGAAAGCCAAATTAGTGAAAAGCAGACAAAGTCAATGCCAATGCCAAACAACAGAGGCACGCGAAACACGCGAAAGTTAAACAACAGACTCCACTCTCACACAAACAAACAAAAGAAAAAAAAAGTTGCAATGAAATTATACAAACATTGTCACAGATTGAATACATATAAGCCAAACTAGTCTGTAGAATATATGCGATTGCTTTTCACTAGTCTGTAGAATATATGAAAATGAACTAGACTATTGCAAATCTCCAACACCAGCATTGCATTCTAATGGATTTCTGATCAGTGATAACCCTGCAAATCAAGAATTCGATTAACTGGTAATACGGCTATATTAGCCGAAACTTCACTGACAATGATCGGCCCTTAACTTGATCTCCTCCATGTAATAGAAACGGATTGTAATAAAGAAACTGGAAATTCTTACCTTCCAAATCAAGAGTTCGATTAACTGGTAATAGAAATAGTAAACCAGAAATGATCATACAGTTACCATACAACTCTTACCTTCCAAATTTTATATTTCAAGATAATTTTGTGGTGTGCAGCCCGTCCGCGTCTCGCGAACCGATGTAAACCTTTGGCACATGCTTGACTCTTGAAAAGTCCGAATCTTGACTGCTTCGATCCAGTTTTGACAGCAACTGATCACCCATATTGATGATAGCAAGTGTATTCAGGCAAGCTAGAAATTCAACACCCGATGGAACTTCCTCTAATAGTGTGCAGTCTTCCAACCATAGCTCCTGAAGTTTTGGCATTGCCCCTTGTTCTACCGTCACTTTTCTCAATCCGCTTGAACAATAAAATGCTAAACGTTTGAGATTTTGGAAACCTCCAGCTTTAACACACAACTCTTCTCCATCATAAGCTTTCTGAAATATAAGCATTTGTAGATTGGGCAAAGCTTGAAGAGATTGAAGCGGATCAAGTCGTAACTTACTCCACCTCAGCAGTAATAATACCAAACTTGAAAGCCTAGGCACCCATTGTGGAAGCATCTCCAAACGTCCACACATAAGCAACCGTTGAAGGCATTGAGGAGGTGATGATATATTCTGTACTTCAAGGATTTCAGCTTCTTCTCTTGCTTCCATAATTAGCTCACGAAGGTAACTCAGCTTCTCTATTGATGAGCATAATGCAGCTCCATGTTCTGCTTCTAATTGTTGAATGCCTAAAGTCCTCAGTTGCTTCAAATTTCCTAGGGATCGCATTAATTCAAGCCCACCTTCACTTGCCCGAATTACTCCAAGGTCTTGCAAGAAGTTCAAATTTCCGATATCTTTTGGCACACGAACACCTTTATATTTGATGAATGCAGAACCAATATCATTAATGTACAGAAGTGCTCTCACAAGGAAAAGGCGATGGAGTTGCAATATCTCAGCTGGCAACTCTTCAACTAAAGTGTTTTCAAGATTTAACATTTCAAGGTTCCGAAGCCACCCAATTGTGCGTGGAAGTGATGCCACCTTGGTACCCGACAAGCTTAGATACCTCAAATTGTATAGTTTGGTGATGCACTCAGGAAACGTGTCCAAAGGTAATCCTTGACAATCCAACACCTTGAGAAGCTTTAACCTGCCATATTTACTGAAAAGTTCAGAAAAGGAAATGCTAGAAATGGAACAATTTTTTCCAAAAAGGAGCAAGGTGCGAACTCTAGAAAAGTTGTGGCCTCCCCGAAAATTCTCCAATGTTGTAGACACCGATAAATGCCTAGCTGGTTCCTGCAGTACTGGATTTTGTTCGCTGATTATTGTAGCAAAATTTTGATCTTTTGATTTTTGAAGGACAATTTCTCGTACGAGGTCATGGAGTACAAAATATTTGAAATTTTCATCAATATCGTCCACAGCTGTTTGGATCAGGCTTCTATTACAAAGCTCATTAAAATACAACTCTCCAACTTCTTCTAATGTCATATCTTTCATTTCACGAATGAAACCTTCCGCGATCCATAGCCTGATGATGAAAAACTTTTTAAACCGCCAATCTTCTGGAAACATGCTTAGATACAAGAAACATGATTTCAATAGATAAGGCAAATCACTGAAACTAAGGGAAAGTATCTTTTTCACGTTCTTAAGCTTGTCATTGTTGTCAAATCCAGCCTCAAAGCTGCGTCTAAATATTTGCCATTCGCTTATTTTATTAGTGTCTTTTGTGGCCAAGACACCACTAACTGCGACAATTGCAAGAGGCAATCCCATGCATCTTTTTAAGATGTCTTGAGAAATATCCTCTAAATGGTGAGGGCATGACTTTCCGTGGAAGGTTCTAGCACAAAAAAGATTCCATGATTCTTCAGAAGACAAACGCTTTAGCGGAAAGGTATAACCTCCAAAATGATCTGTCGAAGTTGCGGAGGCTACTTCAACAATGCGAGATGTGACCATTAATCGACTGCCATGATTGTTTTGAGGAAATGCGTTTTTGAGATTATCCCATGAGCCCACACTCCATAGATCATCCAAGACAATCAAGTACTTCTTATCACCAAGGAAACAAATTATGTCTTGCTTCAGAGAAAGTATATCCTTGGAATATGTTTCATTCGGAATTGGCTGTGCGATCCCTCTTAGGAGTTGTTCAATTATTTTTACAAGAAGCTTCCGTATATCGAATGATTGGGAAACAGTAATCCAAGCACGGTGTTGGAATCGTTGCTTGACTTTGTCATATCTATAGACTTGATTGACAAGAGTGGTTTTGCCTAACCCTCCCATTCCTACCACTGCAACAACTTGGACATTGGAGACTTCATCCTTGAGAAGCCAACTAACAAGCTCTTGTTTGGGTTTCTCAATGCCAACTAGTTGCCATTCTTCCAGTAGAAGGGCTTCATCTCGACGTAGCTCGTATAGAGCGCTTTGTCTACCAGTACTTGAGCTCGAACCTTCCTCCGGTAGAATATTTGATTTGTACCGATACCTCTCATGCCTGCTAGAAATATCGGATACTCTGGATTTAATGCTTCGCAATTCAGAAGCAATCCGATAGCGAGATTTTAGTGTCTTGATAGTGTGAGCTATTTTAAACAGACGTCCGTAGAATCCATGACGTTTTTGATGTTGCTCTGCAAATCGATAGAAGTATGCATCAAGGATGTCTTCTGCGTCAAAACTGGCATCTCTGACCTGCTTAACCCAAACTTTGATTTCTTCATCTTCATCTTCCACTGCATCCGCAACACGTAGAAAAGCCTTCATACTTTCAAGCTCAGCTTTAAGAGAAACAACCTCTTCTCGAAACCCAGTTAGTAGTTTCACCTCTCCCTCCAACAAAAAAGAGAGCTTCTCCAATAAGAATTTCACAGCACTCTCCGCCATTATTTTATCTGATAGAAACCTTGATCAGATGCAAGTTTAAACCGTTTCTTAGATATTCCAACAGTCATGTGTTTGATAACATATTCTTTTCCTTGTTTGAAAGAAAGTAAATAGAGCAAAAAAAAATATTTTCTTGTAGAGGAAAGAAAAAATAAGCAGATACCTAGTGTATAGTTTTAAATCTAGTGGGATCATGCCATTTGAGTTTATTTATTAATTATCCCATTATTTGCGGATTAAAATCACCTGTTTTTAATGTCTTAAGTTTGTTCAAGTTGTAAGTAGGAAACCTACTGACCAGCGATGGACAACATATGCAGACGTGCATGGTGGAGGCAAGGGGAGTTTTCGCAAAAAAAAAAAAATATATATATATATATATTTTAAATATTAACAGAATTTACTGAGTTTGGTCTAAGTGATGATCATATGCATGTGGACTTTATTTATTATGTTTTATTATGCCAAAATATTTGGATTAAGTACTTACAAAACTGGGATATAATCCTAATATATTATTATTGGACAAAACTTTGGTAAGATATAAAATTCTGTAAAAAAGCTGTTGGTACTCGAATCCATAGAATTCTGAAATAAGATATAGAAAGATATAAAAAAAAAATATCACGGTAATAGAGGTACAATTCAATATCTGTCAATAACTTATATTTTAGTAATATGTTAAACAGCAACTCGCTAATAGAAAAATTAGGATTATAGTTGATCTTTCTTTAAAATTGTACTAATTTAAAAATCAAACATAATTTAAGAAAAAATCCATTTGTAAAACTTATTAGGCATGTGTAGTATGTACAAAATGAGCTTACCGACCCTTTATAAGTGCGTGAACGAACAAGCACACGGACAATCACGAGAAATTGCTGGGGATCTCTTTATAAGTCATCAGAGTGGCATGATAAGCCAAAGGGGTATTTCATGATTCCATTGCTTTAAAATTTTCCACAAGAGGAAAAACAACACATTTTGTAGAGACAAATCAGGAGTCTTGATGAACTGTTTAGATTGCGCCAAAAGCATATCGACCGCAAAAAAAAAAAAAAAAAAAAAAAAAAAAAAAAACCCCCCGCCCGGGAAGATAAGGTTTTGAAAATGAAAGCTGTGGGTGCGCAGATGCCAGATGGTAAATGGCTGGCTGTTTTTATTTATTATAATTTATGGGTGTTGGTTTTGGTCTCTTTCTTTCAACTATAAGTGGTGGTCTCGGTCCCGGATTTGTTTAGTACTAGGATTTAAATTAAGGTGATTTTAATTATAATTCTAGAATTATAATTATGATTTATGATTTTAAGTTCAAATCATGATTCTGAAATCATAAATCAGAATCAGATGTTTAAATCACCTTGAATCAAGAGGGAGTGATTTTAAAATCATGAGTAATTCTGATTTAAAATATCATATCAGATTCTGAATCATGATTCAGAATCATCCAAACCAGATACTGATTCTGAATCATAATTCGAAATCACTATAAACAAACATTAATTCTAAATGAAGATAAAATCATGATTTTAAATTCATCCGAAAATTGAGGTGTCATGATTTTAAATTCATCTACCACACGCCCATATCCATCCGGGAATTGAGGTGTCATTCACTCATAACCAAAACAATAGTCAAAATTACTTTTTTTTTTTTTCCTTTTTCGCTGGCTCAATAGTCAAAATTACTTGTTTGGAAAAGTATGATAATACAAACTAGAAAGAAAAATTCTCCGGTCTCCATTATGCAACTCAAAAGCAAAAAAATCAAATTATATGTAACATTCATCATATTTACGAGTTTAGCGGTCCTTCCCAGCTAAGTGCGTCTTTCTTTTCTGAGACTTTTTAAATCAGTTATTTAACTCCACTTATAACACTTTTTTGTCACCATGGTGTGCTTGATAGTAATAACATATGAGAATAATGCTTCCTAATATATATCCTCTACCAATGTTGATTTTGCGTACCTTGTTGTGATAATGAAGTTTACACAAACTATGTCGCTCAGTACCACGTAATATATAATAATAGCACTCTTCAATAGTTTCTTTTCGGCTAAGACACTCTTGAATGATTTCTTGCCAAAATGGACTTTGGGTAACATGGTGTGAGAAATGTATTTATTCATTTTTTTGGCTGCAAGTGTGAAAAAACTTTTTAGAAGCAGTACAATGATGGAATATGTCATCATCAGTTATGGCAAGATAAGAAGTGGGAACAAGTAGATTCTAGAACAACCGTTCCATATTATTATTTGTGAGTGTTGAATAGTTACGCTATTTGGTCCCCTTAGATTCTGCTTGTTTTCTTCTTCGTGGGTTCTTAAATGTTCAGGCATATGATTTGATTTCAAGCTTATACATGTATGATTACTTGTATAAATCATGACTGTTCCAATAGTCTTCATACTGATTCATTGTCTCTCACGATTTTTACAACAATGACAGAATGGGAGGATAAGGAGGAAGGAAAGGAAGGTCGGAATTGATTCCGTTTTTATTTTTTACATTTTTCGATAAAAAAAAAATGAAAATGTTTCTAAAACGGCTTTTGACATAATAAAGACAAAAAACAGAAATGAAAATATTTTTTTGATTTAGTGTAAAATGAGAGAGAAATGAAAAATAACTTTTAGTCGTTTTTTATTTTTTGTTTTCATTTTCTCTTCTCTTGAGCAGAGAGAGAGAGACATTAATGGGTTTTTAAATGTTGAAAATAATTTCTTGATAAAACTACCAAATGTATTTTCAAAAATGATTTTTGTCTGTGATTGAAAACGTTTTCATTTTAATTTTCATACAAAAAATAAAATCATTTTAGAACGAGTTCCAAACGCGCCTGAAGTGACCCAACAATGAGACGATGATTGGGATGATGATGATGTTAACGACGATTTTTCTTTGCAGCTGAGAAGGGAACTAGAGAACAATCATTGACAAGAAGTGAGGTTTGCTTGCCAACTTTAAAATTCTCTGCTACAACCTTGCCAGCTTTGTGAATCCTGTGGTTTTTTTCTCTTAAAAAATTTGATGCTCGTCCATTTAGGCCGGTTTAGTTTACTGATTTAAGTTTTTAATTCGAGTTGATATATGATTTTATGTGAGAGTTTTTTATTATAGTAAAAAAATTAAATATGACTATTTCTGAGTGCTTTTTAATGTAACAAAACTCGAATTCTAAACTTGAATCGGTAAAATAAACAGGATCTTAATTTTAACTTAAATTTGACATATATGTAATTTTTTTGGGCCTCTTGGACCAAAGTATTTTATAATATTGAAGTTTTTTCTCTTTTGAAAAGCTATCTTACTACATGAACACACACATCAATTATGTGACGACAAAACTCGAATTCTAAACTTGAATCGGTAAAATAAACAGGATCTTAATTTTAACTTAAATTTGACATATATGTAATTTTTTTGGGCCTCTTGGACCAAAGTATTTTATAATATTGAAGTTTTTTCTCTTTTGAAAAGCTATCTTACTACATGAACACACACATCAATTATGTGACGACCCTCCTATGAGGCCGCCACTGTAACTTACTTAAACTTTAACTTGTACTTACTGGGGTTTCTTAAAATTTGCGGAACATTTTTTTTTTTTTTT